CATTAATCAACTAATTAGCAGTCTCTCTTTTAACTGCTAATTTAATCTATTCCTCTCAGTCTCTTTAATGGTATTTTCCCCTGTCAGTTATAACCAAAGAGAGGTTTAGCATTTCAAAAGTGTATCCAGGCCTTGAAATGAGAGGGTAATAGAATGGTCGCAGAGGCTGGGAGGAGGCCTGAGCTCAGGGAGTGAGAAAGAAAAGAAGGATACTGGGGAAAGGCTGTCCTCAATGCCATCTCTAGGTCTCCCCGGTGGAGAAAATGAAAGGGAGGGAGGTCTGAGCCTTTTTAAAATGCACAAGGCAGAGCACCCCACGGTAGCATAGCTTCACCAACCACAGCAAACGGCGAGCCCAGGGCAGGCCCTCTGGGAGTTCCTGAGCGTGCAGAATTTAGCTCCGCAAGGCACGTCGGCCATGCTACCAGAAACCGAAGCCTCAATGCCACACCGGAGCTTCGCACCATCTTTTATTTACTCAGCACTTCTAAAAATCAACTTCACCTCTCCCCACATGTCCACCTTTGAAAGAAAAAACAACACCAGCGTTCTTCGCCTCACAGTTTTTCCACCACTATCGCCCTAATCAGCAAATTCGGGGCCCATGAGGGACCAGTAGGAATATGCAATGTGAGCATAGGGAGCCCAGATCAAGAGTATTCCCAGAGCTGGTGTGTTATGGTACGTTTGACTGCTCCGTCCTCCCCTTCGTCCTCTGTTCTCCCCCCCCTTGCATCCATCCCCCTCTTCCCCTTCCACACCCTGGGGTAGCCTTTGTGTAGCCGCACTCCTCCCCTCTACACTCCTCACACACACCCTCAGTCTCTGGTGAACCGTTCTCCTCCCCTCCTCCATGCCTTACAATCACCCTGTTAAGGCAACACAATACGGCCTCCCCGTCCCCATCCCCACAGGCTTTTTTTTTTTTTTTCCTGCGTGTCGGCCTGCTTTATTTGAGAAAGACTCGGCGCTGACCAGTCACAAAAAAGGCAAGTCTTAAAAAATTGGGCCAAAACAAAACAACAAAAAAAAGAAGAAGAAGAAGAAGAAGTGGGGGTTGGGTAAGAGGATGAAGAGATTCCTTAAGCCCCCTTTCGCCACCCCACACAAACACAAACCCCACGTCTCTGCCTTTTCTTCTTGCTCACATCTATATTACTGGGGGGCAGCTAACATGACGCCGTGGCTGGATCAAGTAAGCATGCGTGTGAATCAAATGTAATTTTCTCCTGCATTACTCCAAAAAAAAACATTTTTCCGAACAGGAAGCAAAGCTGTGGGAATTCTAAGCGTGCCATTTGTGCAGCGGGACAGAAACCAGACAACACCTTTCATCCTATAAGGGCACGCCATTCATCACTTCAAGACCAAGAGGCGATAGGGAATGTTTGTCCTCCACGTCAAGTGTCAGAACAAGATGCATTAACTATACTGACCCACGACTTTAATATCCTGGACACGCCTGCTGCCTCCTAACATCAGCCAGCCCCAGACTAATATGCTTGTATGAAGTTATGTTCTGGGGTATTCTTAGTGTAGACAGGCTTTACTCTGTCTGGCTCTACATATTTGGAGCTTAAACTGACAGACAAGTTGACAGACAAAGTGATACTCGCTAAGTAAGTCCTGACAACATTATCAGCAGGCAGTGAGCAAAACTCCCCTAAACTCCCAAACTGAATCCCAGCAAGCAGTTAATTCCTGAGGTATCCAAAATACCAAGAGGCTGACACAAAGGACACTGGGAAGTATCCTCCGTTTTATGAAATTATCTAAATCCTCCGTATCAGTTGAGTTGCAGCCACGGCAAATTACAAACTATTGACGTCAGATGGATTTGTTAATTAATCCAATTAAGCAGCGCTTTTAGGTCATTAAAGGCAGAGCAGTTGGGGGAAAACAGATCATTAAGAGTCACCGCCTAATTTATCTGCCCTCAAACAAACTGCTTTGAAATGTTTATCTTGTCAGTCATTAATGACTTAGCCACAGTTTCTCACGAGCAGGAAGAAGGACAGAGACTGCCCTCCCACATTCCTCCATGTGGTTCCACTAAGCCAAAGTCTGCCTAATCCCGGATCTTAGGGTGTAAAACCCCGTTTGATTCGGATTAGGATCAGATTAATGTGTATTAGTGGAAGTTATGGAGATATACTGTCGCTTTACGGACACTGTCATCCCGCGTAGGTGTGAGATTTTTCAACTGGAAGGTGACACGGCAGACTGGAGACTCTTTCCCATCATGTTTCTCAAGACAACCCAGCGCGCTCGCGTTATCAGAACACCGAGAAACAGCTTGATTTCGGGCCCATTTGGAACAGCGACGAGCTATTTCACAACACTGATAGGCAGTGAGTAACTGTGAGGGGCGGTTAGGAGGAGAGGCAGGCTTTAATGAGAATGTGTTCAGGCCGTGTGAAAGGTGCTCGTAAGACGCCCGGAGACAGAGATGAGTCTCACCTGTGCTCTCTGGTCATTAATTGGCTCTGCAACCTGCTGTGTCCTGTCATATCGCTATGATGTAGGAGGTGGAAGGGCTCTGCAATTTATCAGCACTTATGAGTCAATTTGTCAAGACCTCCACAGCTTGGTGCTGCTGGGACCGCGGCTGATTACCAGGGCACCGCTGCCACTGCCCATATTTTTATCAGCATGAGCGCATACTCACACTTACTCACTCCACTGCTCTGGATATGATCACAGAAAAGTGTGTACAGCGACATGGATGCAAACTTTTAGGGGACAAGTCTGATGTTTGTCCTGAAGATATGCCCATCCTGTTAGTATATATATATCATCCTAACAAGCCTTATCTTCTCAAAATAATCCTGCTAAGTGTGAGAAGTAAAGCCACCCGTGCCCTTTTTTAAATGGTATCTCCTCTGAGGTGAGTATAAGGTCTAAGGAGCCGCCATTAAGTATACAGCAGGAGGACAGATCACCTGATAACAAGGCGCGACATGACAGATGGAGGTATCAATTTACAACCTTCAGACTGTGGCAATAAGCAAGTCATCACAAGTTTGACAGGCCAAAGGTCATCTTATCGCTCTCCCTCTGTTCAACAGATACGAGCAAAAAGTTCATGCATCCCGGTCACCAAAGTGAAAATAATCTTGCTACAATCCATAGAGATGTCACTAAGACTTTACTTAAGTGATCTGATATCTTCCCTACACCAGAATGAAGCTGTTAACCCTCCAATTAGAAGCAAATATGAAATCTTTTCCCTGGCAAGTGGCGTGAAATCCAATTTTCCCAACACTGGTGTCTAATCCAGGACCAATCCTTTGAGTATCTGCTGTCCAGTCCATCTCTATTAGCGGGTCCTATTCTCACGCCTCTCCCAAGGAAACATCCCCAGACATCCTCACAGCCAGGCGTAATTGGAAACCCAGGGTGTCTGACGGACTTTCTCACAGGACGGGACCATTACTGGCTCAGGGTGGAGCAGATGGAGCCGCCACCTAGTTCTCAGAGCTCACCTCTGACCCGACTTCCTGTTTAGGTGCGACGCTGTTTCCTCAAACTACTGTGGCGTCTCAGGCTTTCTCCAGCTCTGCCTCTATACTAAAAGACAAAGACCCAATTCATGGTACCAAACAGAATAGCATCTGAATATGGGCAAAGAGACTCTGCAGACTCCAAACATGGACGAGCAGGAACCATCAGACAAAGAGTTAAAACCACCCATGAGGTCTGATGTTTTAGTTCGGATAAGGTGTTCTAAGATGTTCTACTTGATGCACTGGAGAAGCTAAAGCCACTGCAGCTTGAGGATAATAGATGCCTCACATGTACGCTCACTTTCAGGGACATCTGGAAGCAGACTAAGAATCTGGACTGGTTATAAGCCACAATGGCTTTTCAGGTTTAAACTTGAGAATAATTACGCTGACTATTGCTTGCGTAATTATATAGGTGTGCTGGAGCTACAATAAACAGTAGTAGAAGGCCTGGGTGTCCCTGCTGCTTTTCTGCTACAGGCTTCTTATGAGCATCACACTGCATAGACTTGTTGTGGTAAATTTTCTTTAAACTACTTCTTTGTACAACTTTGTCTTTGTCTAAAATCCACCACATTCAGGGTGCTTCATGTCTTTCGGTGGGGTGGTAGGCATTTGCTTCTTAACTCTGAAGCTACTGACCTGGAAAACCCCAGCTAGCACGGTCCAGAAACTCTATAAAGACATCCATGTGATGGGTGAGGAGGCAAAATGTGTAAGATAATAGGAAGGAAAAAAAAAAAATGCACGCAGCATCAGGCGACAAAGACAAACTGAAACAAAGCTTTTGTAGTTTCACATAATAAATGGCACCAAATTGCATTAAAACAGTCACTGGCTAAGGACAAATGAAAACTGAGCATCTATGTCATTTGATATGCTGCAGATTTTCATTCTAAGAGCACATAAAAAAATGTTGCACTCAGCAATAATAGTCATCCGGGGGAAGAATCATGACATACATGGAAACATGGTCCCCATTGGGGCTCGTGCTGTCTGTATGACCGATGATAGCTGCTCTCTGCACTCATCCCATATGGCCTCAGCACTTTATGTGTGACTTTATGTGTGCTCAGCTTTTAAAAGTTGGACTGCCCCTTTACCCCGAACGTTGACTCTCTTGGTCGAGGAAAATATCACCGTTGTGTCTCTTTGCATTTGTCTTTTTATAGCAATAAAAACCAGAGACGAGCCTCTTACACACATCTAAGCAAAGGCCTGAAACACACTGGAGTAAAATCCAACGTGCAGAATTAGTTTCTAATATGGTTGGCAAAGTTTGTGCCCACAATTTCCCTGCAGCAACCATTTACACATGAGGAGGCATGTGTTTTAATTCATTCTGACACTTTATTTAACGATTTTAACTGAAAATGTGGATTGTGCATGCACTGTAGTCTAATGAAATGATTCTGTATTTGCTGTAGCATCTCAAAAATCATAATTCAAGTCGACGAATGCTCAATAAAAGGCTGCTAGATTCCTCTGACTTACCTGAGCACACATGGAGAATTCCTAACAGAAATACAAATCCAATTGAAGTTGGAGACATCATTCAACGTCTCTCTTATGAGAAATGTTCTTGAGTAATCCAAATTATTCAAAAAGCAATTTAGGCATCCGCTCCTTCATGTCAAAAAAAAACAAAATCTCAGAATCCAGAGTTTAGAAATAAAAAAACAACAACAGAGATTTTGGTTTGTGAGTCACAAAAAAAGGCAAAAACAGTCCAAGAGCAGCTCAAGACCAGCTTGCTTTGGCTTCTTGATATGAGAAGAAGGGTTAAAAAAGAAAAAAGATGAAAAAGAAACTGTTCCAAACAGCTCCAAATGTCACCACATGCTCTGTTCCAGTAGTTCAGTCCAACTGAGCGGCAGCATGTGTTAAAAGAGAAGTAAAGGAGCTCTATCCTTTCTTTGAATTCATCCCGTTGCTGCGCTCACTGATCAGCCAGGCGAGCTCATTTAAATCATTTACTTCCTTTGTGCAACAACAACAACAACAAAAAAGGACAATAAAAACAATAAAGTTAAACTCCAAAGCGAGAAAAAATATAAAAATTAAAAATCCCGTGCTGGAGAAGAAGAAGAAGAAAAAGAAAAACGTTTGCAGTCACATTATTTCAGTCCACTTCTCAATGTGTCACTTGAGATCGGAAACTTTAGCGAGTTAGTCCTGCTGCTGTCCTCCCCTCATCCAGCCGATCCGGACGCGCGATCAGTGCAACTTTTCCATCACTTCTTCTTCTTTCGCTCCCGGTTCTCCTCATCCAGCAACTCCGAGCGATCCGAGTGCGCGTCGCAGACACCGAACCTCACGCGAGAGGGGCGCAACGCGGATTCATATTCGCAGCATTTCATTCAAGGAAAAGCGGAATGCCTCGTCAATTGGTATGCGCCTCTTTCTACCCCCTCCATGGACCCGACAATGTTTCCCAGAGAAGGAAATTTAACCTCTTCCCGCCTGGATCCCACCGAAGCTCCAGCGCAGCTCTCAGGCAGCAGCCGGCTGGATTCTGGTTTTTATTTTTTCTCTCTTTTCTTGAAGTGCGTCCAATAATAAGAGAAACCTTATAAAACTAGCCGGACATGCTTTTCAGTCTCTCTGCGGTTTCTTGACTACAAACAGTGATATTCCTGAAGGGAGTGTGTTTCTGAAGAACTCCATAGTTATTATATAATGGTTCAAACGTAATTTGGGGGTTTTGTTTTTGTCTCCTGTGGTTTCACAGCCCATTAATATTTCAACATACAAACTAGTTTAGCCCTAAAATGCTATTTTTATCACTCTGAAAATTGGCTAAATATTAGAGGGATCATTAAAATCTCAAAGTGTGGTGTATATTACAGCATAAGTGCACTATTTTTTGATAAAAATCCTCTTTTTACGCATAAAATTGCGGTAATATGTTGTCTCTGTTGCACTCAGAGCTTCATTCACAAACATTGTGTGATGTTTGCAACTTGCAGTATGAATAGATTTTAAAGAAAACAACCCAGTTCATGCTCATTAGTGCCTTATGCATGACTTCTTTTCATTAAAATGTGGCCCCATAATAAGTGAGGATGTTTATTAACATTTTTTCCACTGTGACATAAACTTGGGACTCACTCATATAAAATGTGTTCTCTTGTGTCAGAACTCAATAAAGTGGAATTTCTTCTCTTTGAAGCTAAATGTATCCATGGCAACTTTAAACAGAGAGCAGCTCTTTCAGATCTGCATTGTAAACATGCAGGTTATCTTAAACCAAAGCATCAAAATTCTGAAGGAAAAAAAAATGACTGAAAAGAAAACAACAGCTGAAAGACTTCCCTCAGCTCAGCTCAGAGCCCCTCTGTGTCTGCTCCAGTGAGCATTTCTTACCCAACAGCGCCCTCCAGTGAAAGCAGCAGGAACTAATCCTGCAGGAGTCCACCAGCAAACCCTGTCCTGCACATGTCTGCTTCAGTGCTTAGTGACATTAGTCATCAAGTCCAGGGGATCTCACGCAGTTTCACATATCAAACAGATACAATTCATGATGATCCTTTCTCAGAAACGCACTCTCGTCGTGGGCTGAGAAACTGACACGGAAAATAATCGCGCTCGACGCTAGTTTCGCATTAAAGGAAATTTGCTGAATTCAGCTCATCGGTAATGACTAAATGTGCAGCGATAACAGTGTGTAGCACTACATCACATGCTCCAGCTGCTCTCAGAGAACAACTAATCAGACTGCAACTCAGTCCACATCGCTTTCTTTCATTTCTCTTTATGAGATGCACTGTAAAATGAAATCAACGGAGTATAAGTAGCTCTTGCAAGTTTTTCTTTTTGCACAGAATCATGACAGCACTTAAAAATACAGTTATTCTCTCACAAATGTTTGAAAAAGTTAAATAAATGCTGTTCATCACAGTTTGTTATACGCTCCAGTTCAAAGAAAAGTCTACTTTAAACCACTTTAACCCTTTACTACTTCAACTTGAAGAAGTGTTTGGCACATTCAGAGATCGGCCTGTCTTTGAACTCCCAGCGTGCTTTTATTTCTCATTCATCCATGTGTGCATTATTATTATTATTATTATTACAGTTTTAAACACTCCATTCTCACTCGGCCCTCGTGTGCGTGGCTCTCCTGAAAGCTTTTTACAGCCCTGGATGTGTAAAGTGGCTGTTCAGCTTAATGCCACCAATTGAATAGTAAGATTTCCTGCAGCCAGCAGCAGCAGCACAGAACAGAAGCAATTATCAGCAGGAACCAGTGTGAGACTCATCAGCATAGGAGGGTGAATGGAAGGGCTGGATGCTACAAGAGGACAAGAGCTTTTTCAGTGTTTGATGTAACACAGCAACGAGTAAAACGCAGGAATAAAAGTGTATCACACAAAGCAGACACAGTTATCACAGGTCACTGATAAGGTTTTTGTGTCTTTCTGGCTGCAAAAAAACCCATAAAATAGTAAAAAATCAGGCTGATATTTGTACATTTTTATCTTACCGGTCTTGTTGTATTGTTAAGAAGCAGTTTGCTGCTCTTGGACTCTGGCCCTTTTGAACATTTTTATGTGGCATCAAACTCTTTTGTATTCAGTTTTGGTTTCACTCTTCTTCTATGGTTGTCAAAAAAGAAAAGGAAAGAGAAGCGAGGAAAAAAAAAGAAAAGCCCTGTGTGTGCAAGTCATGATGACTGAGCTCTGTAAACAGGGAGGCTCTCTGTCCTCGCTCTTCCCCCTGCAACCTTGATCAGACCAGCAGAGGCAAGAAAAATGACATACTATCGGAGCTGTGACGGCGGCGGCAGAGAGAACAGAGAGCTTTTAACGCCACAGCTAAATCGTTTTTTGCACGAAACAACTTCCAAGAATTTACAAGGTACAAAATGATAAAATAAAAATCATAAAAAAATCCTCTCCCTGCCTGCAAAGTGCTCCGAGGAACTGTAACAGCCACTAACCGAAATGACTTCTGATGCTGTCAAAAAGTTTGTTGAGATGACAGTTTGCATAACGCAGCATTTTTCTACTTACTGTGACCACATTTGTGGGAGTGTCTGAAGGTCTGGTGGTTCTGCTGGAGTCCAAGATTATTAGTCAGCCGTTTGCACCACTGAGACTTGTGTGAACCGGCAAGCCGATGGGCCACGTGTGGACCTTTGTGGTCCTTAGGGACTCCCAGCATGACCAGCATTGAAAACAGCACCACCAGCAAGCACACAATCTGCATGGCGATGCGCAGGAGCAATGTAGGTGCGCATATACAAACTTTCTTGCCAGGCTGCAGACTGAACGTCAAAGAAAATCCCACAGTTCACTCTTGCCCTGATTTAATCACAGATATTCCTCAAAGAGTGGCAAAAAAAGAAGTTAAGATCCAATCCAACAATCCTCTTGCAACTGCAAACATTGCCTTACTTCCCACCAGTACTTCATGCTGCTATCCTCGAGATCTGCCAAATACATAAACCCCTGCAGTCTTGGCTAGTCTCCTAAATCCAGCGACAGTGTTTCCCCCCCAGAGTACGATGGGATCTTAATGAGGGCAACCCTGTATACAATGCGCATGGTGAAGTTCACTCCCCTCTCCTTCTCACCATCCCGTCGCTCAATGGTGAGACTGTCTCTCATCTTCCCGGCCTTTTTTTTTTTTTTTTTAATGTCTTATAATTCTCTTTTTAATATTCAAAAACAGTTCGTGGAGGTTTCTGTCTTTTCTTATGATGTTTCTATGCGTGCAGCAGAACGGGGGATCCTGTAGACTCCATGCTGGGTCTCTTTTCAGTCGCGTTGGCCTCTTCACAAAACCTGGGCCCCCTCAGCATGGAGGTTACGGGGGTGACACGCAGGCGGGGTGAAGCGAAGGAGCCCACATTCCCCTTTTTTGCCCGACTAAGACTATTTAATGGCTTTCATTCCCATTCTCGCCAGTGTACCAAACAAGATGGCATAAAACAAAACCTTTCCCCCTTCAAAAAGATGCTCCCCGTCGAGCGCTAAAACACAACTCTCTTTGCAGGAAAAGTGATGCATTTTGGGATTTCACATTCCACAGGCTGGAGTTTTTACCTCCTGGATATGTTTGGGGGGCATAAACAGAAACTTGGAGTCACCTTGGCCAGTCACAGGTATGTTTGAGTTTCCTTCCACTGGCACTTTAGCCGGATTGTTACCGTACTTCACGTGCCTCACATTCACTCCAGTCTTTTATCATTCATGCTCTGTCCTTGAGGAGCCATCCTTTTATTTATTCATTGTGCTACTTTTCTTTTTATAAGACAGCAATTCAAATTTACAGCCTTTGTGAGTTGGCAATGGGCAGCACATCACCAAGGTGTTTTGAAAAGATAAACACAAATAACATGAGGTAAAAAAGGACTTGGTTGAATGAGCTCTTTTAGTACTTTCCAAGACAATCAGTAAATAGCCGCAGGGTAACTTTGTTCCGCCTCTGTTTTTTGGGGCTTTGATCCATTTTACATTTACACAAGTAGCCCGTCACAAATCAGAAGCAGTATCTGGGGCTGACTGAGTGAACCAACGAGGAGTGCAATGTCCTCTGACAAGCAAGGTCAAGGCTCTCAGGGCTGTTTTGTGCTCATAAACAGACTCGAAGCTGCATGAAATAGAGGTTAAGAGACTGAATAAAACACTGGCTGACCGACGGCATCAATTTTCATCATTTCAAAGCTCTTGTCCTCCTCTCCTCACCAGCCAGAGGAAGGCCCGAGGCTTAAAATAGACGAGTGTAAACATATGGAATGGCACTTACACCGCTAAAACCAACATTTATCCATCTTTTACGACATATGGAAGTATCTCCTTTCTACAACTTCCTGCAAGAAGCAACTGTTGCATGATGGATATGTGTGGTGGACTGAATGTGCGGCATATATCAAGTTAAATGAAGACTGCTTTGCCATGCAGCGGACCAACAATGAGAACTCACCCTTCTCTGTCAGGGTACTCTGGAGAACGAGATGATTTTCAGGTGGCCTGACAGATTGTTAACATGGGACGGAGGAGGACTTGAAATAAAGGGCAG